AACTCTCAGACGCACAGTTTAAAACACTGGTCATCAGGATCCTCACAGAACTGGTTGATTATAGCCACAAATTAGACAAATATATGAAGGCGAAACTAATTGAAATGAATGGAATTGCACAGGACACCAATAGCAATGAAAAGGAAACTGGGACTCAAATCAATGGAGTGGACCAGAAGAAAGCAAATAATGGCCAAACAGAAAAGAGTCAAGAAGCAAGAATTCAAAGAAATGAGGAGAGGCTTAGGAACCTCCAGGACATCTTTAAACGCTCCAACATCCGAATTATAGGGGTACCAGAAGGGGGGAAAGGCACAGCCACCAGTGGAAAACGCATTTGAACAAATAATAAAGGAGAATTTCCCCAATCTGGCAAAGGAAATAGACTTCCAGGAAATCCAGGAAGCTCAGAGAGTCCCAAAGAAGTTGGACCCAAGAAGGAACACACCAAGGCACATCATAATTACATTAGCCAAAATTAAAATGAAGGAGAGAATCCTAGAAGCAGCAAGAGCTAAGGGGACAGTCACCTACAAAGGAGTGCCCATCAGACTGTCAGCAGATTTCTCAAAGGAGACCTTACAGGCAAGAAGGGGCTGGAAAGAGGTATTCCAAGTCATGAAATCCAAAAACCTACAACCAAGATTGCTCTATCCAGCAAAACTTTCATTTAGAATGGAAGGACAGATAAGGTGCTTCTCAGATAAGGTCAAGTTCAAGGAGTTCATCATCACCAAGCCCTTATTATATGAAATGTTAAAGGGACTTATCTAAGAAAAAGAAGTTAAAGAAACATGAACAGTGAAAGGACAACAAACTCACAGTTATTAACAACCACACCTAAAACAAAAGCAAACTAAAAGGACAGCTAGATCAGGAGTGGAAACATAGAAACGAAGATCTCAAGGAGGGTTAGCAACAGGGGAGTGGGAGGAGGAGAAGGGGGGAGAAGGTACAGAAAATAAGTAGCATAGACAGTAGATAGAAAATAGAAGGGGGGGCAAGAATAGCATGGGAAATATAGAATCTAAAGAACTTGAGACACATGGTCATAAACTAAAGGGGGGATAATGGTGGGGATGGGGGGTAGGGTGGAGGGGAATGAAGGGGGGAATAGAACAACTGTAACAGCATAATCAATAAAAAAATTTTAAATTTAAAAAAAATAAAATATGCAAAAAAAAGAATGCAACGTTAATTTTTTTCAATTGTCAAATATGTACAGTATGACATCATTTCTACCGAGTTTTAAGAACATGCCGACATGCAAAACAAATCTAAACGTTAGGTGGGAAGGACACAAGTTGACCTTGAGACTGCACAGGGTTAAATAGGGCTGAGGTGGTGTACAAACAGGCCTGCTGTGTTTGTAAACACTTATCTGGAAAGAAATGTGAAGATGAGTCGATTGGTTACATGGCGGAATGTAAGTGTTTGCACACCAGCTCTCTTCAGCGTGTTTGAATTACCTCTCCCTTTTTTCCCAGTCCTTTTTCCTGCCCTCCACTGGTGTGCTGGGCTCGCCTGCCTCCCAGCCACTCAGGGACCCACGGGGGTCTCTTCACAGTCTTGGTTTTCTTTAATAGCAACAGTGACATGCCGGCTGGCTCTGACTCTCAGAATTCTAGCCTGTATTTCTCCCAGGGCCTGCAGGAGAATGGCTCCTGCTACAGACATGCTCATTGTTAGAGGAGTTCTGCTTGATGCTGGAGCTTTTGTCAAAGATTCCCAGGAGCCTCAAGGCAGAATTCGATCAGCAGGAGTCAACAAAGAGATCAGAGGTGGCCCACTCCCCCTGGGATCCCCACAGGCACCTAGGTATCACCCACCACTTGTCCCCTCCTCCTGTTCCTCAGCCTAAAAGATGCTTGAATTCGGGGCTCTCTTAAGGTGGATTTGTGAAAATTATAACCCCCCCCTCAATCTTTTGGAGTTGGCACCTTCTCAATCAATAAAGCTTTTCTTACTCCAGACTCTGACGTTTTGAATGTTGACCTTTTTTTCTTTAAGTCTAGCACACGAACCTTGACCCAGTAACACAATGGTTTTTACCCTTTGGGTCATTACATTTACTTATTTTTTTTTTCCCAGTCTTAAAACACTTAACTCTACATCATGGCACCTTTCAGCTCTCTGTCCCTGATGGTGAGTCAGCTTAGATAAGGGACCCCACCTTCTGCTTTACGTGGAGTGTGGCCTCCACCCCCAGCACCCTGGTCGGGCCTTTGAACAGAACTCCTGCAGCCCAGCAAACCCAAACACTTGTCAAACCTCGTCTTTGGAAGCCCCACACCGAGAAACACTGCCACGTCCAATGAGCTTCCCCACGTGTTTCTCCCCTTTTACTCTCTTGGGAGTTTCACGGTCCGGGACCAGCACTCGCCTTCTCGAAACTCCCCCTGCCCTGAGCCATCACCCCAGGGTGTTGCCACGCCGGTGTCTGGCTGTGAGTTGGTCACAGCCAGCTTCAGCTCTCAGCTGTCAACCGCCAGCGCCCCGAAAGGCCGCCACATGGCCAACCCGCCTCTCACGTCGCCTCTGCTCTTCTACACGCAGCCCAGGGGAAAGAAGTCTCCCGTCACACATCAAAGCACATAATTCTCGACTTCCGCCAAGATGGAGGTATAGGTGGATGTGCCGTGCCTTCTCACACAACCAAGTTTAGGGACAACTAAATATGAGCATCAGAAAACACAACCAGAACACGGAAAATTGAACTTTTCGGAAGTCCGGTAACAACAAATTCTTCAGCCCGACCGGTAAGGGGCGAAACCGGCATCTCGTGAGGGGTTGCACAGGACTCCGGTCGGAGGGACCCAGGCGCGGAATCCAGACGCGCGAATCCAGACGCAGGGGTTCCAAACCCAGGATTGGACCTAGTGAGCGACTGCTGAGGAGACAGTGGGGAGGCGGTGCTGCATGTTGACTGCAGTTGCCTATCTGTGGGCGAGCGGACAGGCGAGGGAGTGGGCGCTTGGACCGGCCCGGCGATCCCTGTGGCTTGCGGCAGTAGAGGGCGCCGCCATATCCCCGCTCTGACCACGCCCCCACATACAGCGTCACAACCCAGCGACCTGGGAGTCCAAGGCGCCGCTTCTCACATTTAAAGGGCCCGAACAGACCAAAAATGTCGCAGGAAGACCTCAAAGCCCCAGAGATAAATCTAAGCGAAGAAATAGCAAAACTCTAGGACGCACAGTTTAAAACACTGGTCATCAGGTTCCTAACAGATCTGGTTGATTATAGCCACAAATTAGAGAAACATATGAAGGCTAAACTAAGGGAAATGAATGGAATTCCACAGAAAACCCATAGAGATGAAAAGGAAACTGGTACTCAAATCAATGAAGTGGCCCAGAAGAAAGCAAATAATGGCCAAATAGAAAAGAGTCAAGGAGCAAGAATTCAAAGAAATGAGGAGAGTCTTAGGAACCTCCAGGACATCTTTAAACGCTCCAATATCCGAATTATAGGGGTACCAGAAGGGGGAAAGACACAACCACCAGTGGAAAAACTATTTGAACAAATAATAAAAGAAAATTTCCCCAATCTGGCAAAGGAAATAGACTTCCAGGAAATCCAAGAAGCTCAGAGAGTACCAAAAAAGTTGGACTCAAGAAGAAACACACCAAGGCACATCATAATTACATTAGCCAAAATTAAAATGAAGAAGAGAATCCTAGAAGCAGCAAGAGCTAAGGGGACAATCACCTACAAAGGAGTCCCCATCAGACTGTCAGCAGATTTCTCAAAAGAGACCTTACAGGCAAGAAGGGGCTGGAAAGAAATATTCCAAGTCATGAAATCTAAAGACCTACAACCAAGATTGCTCTATCCAGCAAAACTTTCATTTAGAATGGAAGGACAGATAAGGTGCTTCTCAGATAAGATCAAATTCAAGGAGTTCATCATCACCAAGCCCTTATTATATGAAATGTTAAAGGGACTTATATAAGAAAAAGAAGTTAAAGAAACATGAACAGTGAAAGAACAACAAGCTCACAGTTATTAACAACCACACCTAAAACGAAAGCAAACTAAAAGAACAGCTAGATCAGGAGTGGAAACATAGAAATGAAGATCTCAAGGAGGGTTAGCAACAGGGGAGTGGGAGGAGGAGATGGGGGGAGAAGGTACAGAAAATAAGTAGCATAGACAGTAGATGGAAAATAGATGGGGGGGGCAAGAATAGCATGGGAAATATAGAACCTAAAGGACTTGAGACACATGGACATAAACTAAAGGGGGATAATGGTGGGGATGGGGGGCAGGGTGGAGGGGAATGAAGGGGGGGAATAGAACAACAGTAACAGCATAATCAATTTTAAAAAATAAATTAAAAAAAAAAAGCACATAATTCTCTTATTCCTCTCATGGTAACAGCCAGCTTTGCGGCCCTCACACTGCTTCTGGGAGGAGGAGGCAGAGCCACCGTCTGAAGCGCACACGCAGCACCTGCATTTCTGCAGCGGTCAGGCAGCCGGCTCCTGTGGGCCCAGAGGCTGCTCTGCGCTGCGTCAAGCAGCTCGAGTTCATTCGAGAGATTCTCCTTGAGATGCATGAGGGCTACGGAGGAAAGGGAAAGCCAGCCTGTCCACATGCCACCCTGGCACCCAGAGAAACGGCCGCAGAGTGGAGGCGGGCGGGTTTCTGAGCACAGGCTCTTGCCTCGCCCCTGCCGTGTGCTGGCGTGTCCGGGACACTCACGCTACACTCTGGCCACCGCCTCGCAGGGCTTCCGGCAACGTGCACAGCTGCAGCCAGCACGGGGCGTGTGCTTAGCGTGCGCAGCCTGGCACGTGCCGAGCCATCGGCCACCAGGCCTCGTGGCTCCCTGCACGCCTGCGCTTAGTGGTCTCCAAGAAATGACTGCAGGCGTGGGGGGGGGGGCAGTTGAGCCCCTCTCCTGCGTAACTGGGTGATCTGGTGTCTGTGCCCGGAGACCCATCATCCCCAGAGGCCTCGCAGGGCCGAGGTCCACACTGAGAGACAAACCAGACTCCGCCGTTCCACCAGGATCCATCTCTTTATTGATGCTAATATCGCGCCACTTCCCAGAGGAACTGCTGGAACAAGATTAGGACTTGATTTCTAAAGGCAATAGAATAACAATGACATCATAGACAAAGCACTGGGGACAATCCTTGCAGAGAAACTGCGCTTTTCTTCTTCGGCCAGAGTGCCCAGGCGGTCCCTGCTGTCCTGGGCATGCGATTCTGGTCCTGGTATGCACAGGCTCCTTCCTTCATCTTGGCCCTCGGAATGTTCCGGCTCGAGGCGTGCCCAGACGGCCTTCTCCAAGCTCCTCCGCCACCACATCCCCTTCCTTCATTCACCCGGATCGACTCCCAGCTTCCCGGTGAGGCGTGTGCTCCTGGAGGGGCTGCTCCTGGCGACCAAATGGCTAGCACCAAGAGGCTGGTCCTCCTCCGCAAAGTGAACCTGGTACTCTTTTATTCTTGTTGGGTTTTTTTTCCTAAGGAGCAAAAACGTCTTGAATGGCACTAGAGTGTGAGACTACACAGCTGCGTCCAGCTACGGGCGTCTACAGCGTCCAGCCGCGGAGCCGCGCCCCTCAGATGTAGAGCTGGCGGGAGGCCAAGGCGTCCATGAACGGGCGCACCAGGTTGTCCGTGGAGAAGTAGAAGATGAGCCCGAACGTGATGGAGATGGGGAGGGCGGGCAGCGCTTTCTTGAACACCGCGAGCAGCAGGAGGGTCAGACACAAACCCTGCAGGACACCAGGGGAGGGGAGGTGATCACCGGCACGGGCGGGGAGGGGAGCGCCGAGCAACGCCTGGTCCCTGGGCTCAGGAGCGTGGCCGGGACTCGTAGGAGCACAGCCCCGGACACCCACGAACGGGCGAAGCAGAAAGCGGGCCTCCTGAGCCGAGATGCTGCCGCCTCCACCAGACTGCCTTCCTGTCTGGCTACTGCGGTGACACGTGCGACCCGATAGCAGCATGCCTGCCCTCAGAGGGACACATATGTGTAGGAGAATTGGAGGGGCTCAACTGAAATGCCAGCAAGGGTCTCAGCGGTGGACACCAAGGGAACCGAAGATGCCCCGAGACTCCTCCCCTCGGAAGCAGGTGCAGTGGGGCCGACCCTGTCCCCACACCTGGAGACACAAACAGTGGTCCAGGGCGGGGACAGGGGACCAGAGTGCCTGCGCTGTCCCTGGAGAGAGCAGGGTTTCGGCTGAGAGAGGCCCAGGGGGAGGAGCCTGGGCCCACCACCCTTCCTTGAGGAACTCCACGTCTCCGAAGGACGGAGCCTCGGCCTTCGTGTGCCACGAACTGCGTGGGGTTCACGGGGCAGAGCCCCGAGGGTGCGCCACTCAGAGCCCCTGCCACTGAGGGGCAGACACTGTTCATGTCCTGCATTATGTGGATCTGGCTACATCACGTGATAGGGGACCTCCAGATTTCACTGGCAGGTTCACAGTACTCGGCCCCCCTCCTGAGCCCCAGGAGGGCCCTGGGGTTCAGACCCCCCAGGGTGTCTGGGTGCTGCACAGGGAACACACCCAGCCCCAGAGGTGGGGACCTGAGTTCAAACTGCAGCCCGTCCCTCACCAGCGCTGTGCCCCCAGGCGAGGCCTCCGCCCACTTCCTCGTCCAAGAACCTCAGGTATCACGACACAGGCTCGCCAGGCTGGCTGAGCCCTTGCCGCCCCGGCGTGCGCACTCAGTGACGTCAGGGGCTGCGTCTTGTTGACACCCAGAACCTCCCGTGTGCCTCAGTCTCACGCTGAGGGTCCTAGAAAGCCCCCCAGCCCCCGTGTCTTCTGCCCCTCCCCAGGACCACAGCATCTGAAAGCTCCCCCAGGGTCATGGGCCCCCACGGCCCACTTACAATGAGGATGGCCACGAAGCAGGCCAGCGTGGTGTTCCAGTCCCCACTGCCCGTGGCCGCCGCCTTGCCCACCAGCACGCTGTAGAAGATGAAGTCTCCCAGGCCGAGCTTCACACCCCCTGTGTGGGGAAGACGGGGGTCCATCATCTCAGAGGCCCCAGGGGGGCGGCAGAGGAGGCAAACAGCAGCCAAACAGCCAGGGACCCAGGGCACATGGTCTGGGGGCTCTCAGGAGGCCAAACAGGGCAGCTTTGCCCACCAGCCTGCCTCGCCTGTGGATGAGCAATGGCTGCCTCGGGAAAAGGGGACACCCTCGGACTGAGTGAGCTGCGGTCTGGGCTGTGAAAAGCTAGCATGTCTGGTAACTCCGATTAAACTGGTGCTTGGCACTTACTTTAATTTTAAAAAAATCAAGCCAAACACACTGTCCAGGATCGGTGCGAGGCTGTACACAACTGAGTGCTGAGTTGGACTTACGAGTTTTTTTAGGAAATTCAATTTCACTACTCGTAAGAACATGTACAACACCCAGAGGTCCTCGGGAGACCTGTTCCCCTTAGAAACAGATGAACATACTTGTCATTAGCTTATTTGTAACTGAAAGTCAAGAAGAGCTTCTAGAATGCTGCCATGTTTGTTTCCGTCAGTACAACCGTCCCGGACACATGTATAAGAGTCTTGTTTATCGAAGACAACGCAAATGTTTACATGACTAACTCGAGTGAGCCTGATCAAGGACACTGCTGGTCTCATCCGCCCCCACACCCTCCCCCCTTCCAGGCTCCAAATAAGAGGTGTCGCTGCTCCCCCTGGTCGAGGCGGTATCTGTCCCCAGCTGAGGCTGACCCTCTGGGAGTTCAGCTCAGGAGTTACTCCTCAGGCGACTCTCTCTGACCCCAGGGACCCAGTCAGGAGCCCCACTGGTGCGACTCCGCAGCCGGGGTCTCCTGCACAGTGCCGCCGGCTCACAGGGTTCCCGGTCAGCGCCCACACCTGTGGGCCGCGCTGGGCCGGAGCCAGGCACACAACGGGCACTCGGTGAACGCTGTTACATGCAGGCTCTAGTCTGAATGTGCAAGTCCCCACGGCCTGCCGACCCGAACTCCCTTTGCAGGCCTCTCCTTGACTCCTGTGAGGCCATCTCTGATGAGAGAGGAACGTCTCCCTCACACCCCCCCCCCCAGACCTCAGGGAGCCGCCCCTCTGCCCCCGGGGCTACGCAGACCATCTGGACACGGGCACCTTACTTTCCTCCTCTTCCTCCAGCTCCTCCCCTGGGTAGCCAGGCAGGGGGTGCTCGAAGACTTCAGGGTATGAGGGCTCCCCAAAATTGTCGTAGGAGTCTTCTTCTGGGGGTCCAGTAACAGCAGATGGCAGGCATCACCACGGGGGAGGAAGAGGAGGAGGGAGAGAGACAGACAGCTAGTCAGCGGCCTCTCTGGAGCTCAGGGGCCGCCCTGCCCTCACCCACCAGCCCGGACACAAAGAGCCAGACTCCAGACCACAGGAGAGAGGTGAGGCAGAGGACCAAGCTGCCCCTCTCAATCCCCACGATGCCAGGGCTTGGTGTTCTCTCCTGCCCACCCAGACCCCGTGTCTCCCGGAGAAGCCAGGCCAGGCCAGGCCGAGCTGGGCGCACGAGAGGAGCTGCCCCCCGGGACGAGAAGCCACCGCCCCCCAACGCTCACCCATCTCTGGGTCGTAGGGGAGCTGAAGGGCTCCCTGGGAGGAGGGATCCAGCTTGGCCATGCCCACTGTCCACACCATGGCGGCTGGAGAAGGAGACAAGGGTCAGGCCTCGGGCAGGGCGAACTGTGGCTGCCCCTGGGCCTGTGAGGCAGGTTGGCCAACTGGTGTCCCCAGGAGCCTGCACGGGACCCTCGGTTCCGTGGGACCCGGTGTGTCCCACTGTTAGGAGGCCACTGGGGGAGGGTCCAGGCTCACTGACCGGGTGTGGGCAGGCAACTCCTTTCCTATCTCTTTGCCTCCTCACAAAAACAAAGGTAGTAATCTCAGTGAATAGTTTGGTGAACTAATTGTGGTTTTGTTTCATTGTGGTTAAAAAAAACAAACACATAACATAAAACGTATCATCTCAACCACTTTTAAGCTTGAGTTTAATAGTGCTAAGTGCATTCACATTGTTGTGAGACAGGTCTCCAGGCCTTTTTCATTTTGCAACACTGACACTTTGTGTCCAGTGAACAAGCCCTACTGTCCCTTCTCCCCGTCTTACTCTGTCTCTGAATTTACTCTAGGTGGCTCATACAAGTAGAATCTACAGTATTTATCTTTTTATGACTGGCTTAATTCACTCAACATAATATCCTCAAGGCCCCTCCATGTAGCACATGCTAGAATTTCTTTTTTAAGACTGAATAATATTCCATCCACAGTGTACATATACACATTTTGTTTATCCATTCATCTGCTGACAGACACGTGGGCTGCTTCCAGCTCTTAGCTGTTGTAACTAATGCTGCTACAAACTTGGTTGTACAAAAACATGTTCAAGACCCTGCTTCGATTCTCTCGGGGATCTGCCCAGAAGTGGAACTGCTGGGTCACGGGTCCTAACACGGTTTTCTGGCTCCGGCCCGGAACCTCCCTGGACCTGTATCCCAGCTCTCCAGCTGAACGTCCAGTGAGCATCTCAAACTCAACATGCCCCAAGTGCTCTCAACAGCTGCCAGTTCCATCCTTTGGGTTGTTGCTCCCAAAACACTGACATCACCCTTGCCGCTCTCACGTCATGTCCCCACCACCAGCTCATCCTGCCAACTCTGCCTCCAAAATGCCTCCAGAAAGCAACCACATCCCCCTGCCTCCACCGCTGCCCCCGAGCCAGAGCCTGTGGCCTCTGCCCTGGACCGTTATTCAGCTCCCAAACCTGGCTCCTGCTTCCACTCTTGATGCCCACACACTTTGTTCTCCACTCAGCCGCCTGTGAAAATGTCAAGCCAGGTCAGCACAAAATATTCCACAGGTGTCCCATCTCACTCAGGAGTAAAGACAAGTCCTCACCACAGCCTGCAGGGCCTGCGGTCATCTGGAGCTGCCCCTCCCCCTGCTGACCCGGGGGGCTCCCTGGGCTCACCAGGCCCATGCCCACCTCAGGGCCTTTGCACTTGTTGCTGTTCCTTCTGCCTGGAATTCTGTCCCCCGATTCTCCTAAGGCAGGAAAATGTCACCTTATGACAAAGGGCTTCCTTGACCCCCTTAGGCAGAGCACCAGCCCCCTACTACACTACAGTCCTTAGGTCCCTTATCCTGCAGTCGCCTGCTGATCTACGCATTTGTCTGTCTAGTCACCGCCTCCCCTCCGAGAACGTGAGCCCCACCGAGTACACAGACGGTGAACGGAGTCCAGGCGCCAACTCAGTCTTTGCACGCCGGGCCCCTTGGAGCGGGCCTGGACTGCGCTTTCACACTCGGGTCCTCGTTTGTTGGAGGCGACCCTGAACCGTGCAGCTACTCCCTGCACTGTCTCTCCAGGGCACCTGCGGACAGCTGAGCCCCAGAGGTTCACGCCTTCCCCTTAAGCACCCCCAGCAGCAGACAGGAGGGCATTACTAGCACAGCGCTGTGAGCTCTGGGAGGCCGGGGCCCACGCGGGCGTCTCCTCCAGCTGCAACTCCAGTGCCCCGCACGGTGCCCGTCACAAAGTGGGGGTCTGACTGCTGACACACGTTGGCTGAGTGCACACATAAGCCCCAACCCCTACACACTGGCCTGAGCCCAAGGGCATCCCATGTGCCTTCCCTTCAGAGACGTGGCTTCGACCAGCCACGCGGCGGTGAAGGAAGCCCAGGGAAAGGCGGGCAAGCCCGGCTCCCCCACACCCCGCCCTCGAAGAGCCCCTCCCCAAAGTGCCTCCAACTGTGCCTTGCTGAGCAGTGGCCATGACCTCTTAGAATGCGGTCGGCGCCCGCCACACGCCTGCTGCTGGAGGCCAGGCGGGCAAAGCTCCGGGGCCCCTCCTGGTCTAACTTTCCAAGCTTCGTCCTGTGTGACAGAAGGTGGTATCTGCTGTCGTCTCCGGAAGGTGGAGGCCACCACCTCCGCCCTTTGGTCAGAGAAAGGACAGCTATCTCCTAGTCCACCCCAAGGCCACGGCCAGGAACCCGCCCCAGGCTCCCACCTCAGTGCCCCTGGCCCCACGTGGGAGGAGGTGCGGGGCCGCTCACATGAGTATATCAGGGCAGGGAATATGGGCTCGTTTCGCTCCTGCGCAGTCTCCACCAGCATCCTCAGCGGCCCTTTGGGGCACAGCACAGCCACGAGATCTGGGAGGAAGCAAAGGGAAAAAGACACTTATTCCCAAACCACCCCCAGAGAGGGGAGCCGGCCCTCCTAACACCGGCGTGGACGGGGCCACTGTGTACTGGAGCCCTGACCACGAGGCTCTCGGGCGGGCCCGCTGCCCCTTCACCCAACCCCCGGGTCTCCAGCCCCAGTCTGTGGAGTCTGCACAGGCTGGGCGCAGAGCGGGAGGGTGAACTTGAGGTCCCACTGCTCTGGGCCCTAACACGGAAGAAACAGCAGCAGCACTGGTGACGGCAGCTACCTCCACACTAATGAAGGAGCGGCCCGCTCTCTGGATGCTCGGTATTTGCAGGTACCGTGTAGGTATCTGGGCCCAAAACTGACAGTGTGTCGAGCGCTAACAGTGGGAGTGCCCAGCAAACACCTGCCATCACCGATAACCACACCAGCGGGCACGAGGCTACAGGACCTCACAGGCCGTGCCAAGGCGAGCCTCTCCGGAGGAAGGCCAGCCAGGCCCCGCAGGGAGAGGAGGGGACCTTTCCGGCACCTGCCACCTGTGAGCAGCAGCAGCGAGGACCTGCCCCGGACGCTGACCCCACGGCCCACTGCCAGGCCCTCTCAGTGTCCGTGCCCACTTACCGTACACGGAGATGGCGCCCAGGATGACCCACGCGGACCATTCCGGGAGGTACTTGATGAACACCAAGGCCATGAGCGCGCTGATCATGATGAGGTAGGCCTGCTGCAGCACCAGGGGGCCCTTCCAGTGGATGCACACCATGCCCACCGCCCCGAAGTTCCAGACGGTCAGCAACAGAGTGGGGTGGTCCATGGCCACATTGTAGGTCTTGAACACTTCCCTGCAGGAGCCCAGCAGGGGCGGGCGGCGGTCAGCGGGACGTCAGACCTGCCGCGACTCAACAGCCCCTGCTCCTCAACCGCTAAGTCCCAACTGGGTGTTTCCAGCTTCTGGTTCCACTGACTGACTTCCCCTTCCCCATTTCCACGAGCCCTCAACTAACCGCTTGGAATCGTTTCTGGAGCAAGGCGGGGAGTGAACTGATGTCTCATTCTTGGGCCAGTTCATATAAACGTGCATTGGCACAACCGGGGGGCCCTGGGCCCCTGGGAAAAGTGTGTTCTCCCGTCCCTCTTGTCTCTTTGAGCCCCTGGGTCGGGCTGATATCCCAAATCAAGGGCAACAGAGACCACTTCTGCCACATCCAGGAAGAACCCAGGCCAAGCCCCAAGATTAGAATGTAAACTTTGAGGGGTTCTACTCTCCTCAGGGTCACAGAGCACCTTCTCCACGCTGGCTCTGCCTCTCTGCGTTTACTTAGGAAGCAGAAAGAGACTCGTGGCCCGCCATGGAGCCCACTGCCCCGTGTCCGAGGGGCAGGCTCTTGGAGCAGAGACACTCGGGGGTGCGGAGCCCGGGGGCCCCCTTCCCTGCCCGGGTCCTGCACAGTCACTCTGCCCCCCAGGGAGGCCCCCGAGGTCCCTGCTGCCCACCAGCTGCCACTCACCCGAGGTAGATGTAGGTGAACAGGAACAGCAGCATCAGGGAGGACATGATCAGCCAGCCGTGGATAAACTGGATGGAAAACGAGCAGAGTGACCACACCGTGGGCCCATGTACCACTGGCCCCCGGTTCTGGGAACCGAGGCCCAAGCCTGGAAACCGTTCTGCGTCGGGCTCCTATGAGACTACACTGGGGGTACTGGCGGCCATTTCCCAGATGTAGAGGGCAGAGAAGTTCAAGGTCTCCGAAGGTCACCCAGCAAGTGTATAAAGGAGACAAACCTCCTTTAAGTCTAAACACCCGGACCAGCACTCACTCAGAAAGGGTGTGCCAGTGTCCCCGACGTGCCAGGCACACCTACGCTCTGGAGGAAAAGCCAGCCACGCCTCTGCCCACCTGCTGCCTTCCAGGGTGAGGGCAGCGGGATGACAAACAGATACACGCACATGCCAGCAGGTGTGATAAGGGCTGTGACGGAAACAGGCTGGCAGGAGCAAGTGATGGGGACCCACTAGAGGGCCGATTCAGGCAGAGCGGTCAGTGCAGGCTCTCGACGGAGCTTCTTCTGAACAGTCAACACAGGGAGCCCTGTCCTGCCCGACGCTGATGCACGCTCCTCTCCTGGCCAGACTCGGGAGGGTCACAGACGAGGGTAAGGCTGTTCCTAAGCCAGTCCCCTGGCCAGCCATCAGTGGCACAGTGGTGACACCCCCGCCGGTCTCCTTACTGTGGGGACAGACCCAGCATGAGCCACGAGAGAGCTCAGGGAGGGCCTGGTCTACCAGGAGTGAAACGGGTGGCCTTCGCCAGGCTGTGTGTGGCTGCCTTTGGGAGGTGCTGACGCTCTACCGTCCCAGCCCCGCCCGCCCGCCCAAGGCTACAGCCATCGCCTGAGTGTCATGAGACCTGCCAGTAACCTTACTGAACTGTCCCTGGGACTGGTCACGGAAGTGCAGGCTTCCCATGCTCCCCGTGCACGGCTTTCGTTTGTGCCGTGGCCCCTGCTCCGGACAAGCCGCTGTCTCCTCTGCTCCCCACCACCCAGCCCACCCCACCCCAACTTCGCATGCTGGGGATCGTTTACACACACACTTACTAGCTGACAGGCCTCAGCTCCCGGGCACCTCCTGACAGCCCCTCCCACCGCTCAGTCCCACTCCCGCCCTGAGCAGGAAAAGGGGCTCTAGGCCGGGCCTCCCCACCTCCCTCTACCTGCCCCACAGATGGCGGCAGCCGGAACACAGAGTGCTGTGCGTGCCAGTGTGTGATGGGATTTAATCAGGTTACGCCTACTTGAACTTCCTTTTAGTCACCGGGGCTTCAAAGCCCTCCTTGGGAGAAAAGCCTGAAACTCCCATCTGAAAGCTTATGGTATCTCGGGGGACGATGCCCGTGGTTCGGGTCAGGACTCCACTCCCGCACCACCTCCTGCGGCCACTGCACAGCCATGGGGTGAGGGTGGGGGGATCCAGCCTGTCTGTACTGGAAGACCCTGGCACAGTGTCTGTACTTCCCCGGCCTAAAGGGAGACGGGAAACTAAAAATAAACCTGGAGGGGAAGTATAGGGTCAAGGGAGCCCAAAATAGAACATCTCACTCCTTCAGAAGGAGAAGCAAGATAGAATCCACTTTGAATATGAGAAGTAACACTCTGAACATGGCAGGGAGGAACTCGATTCAGTGGGATTCTGTGTAAGTTTAAAATAAAAGAGCCTTGGGGTGCCAGAGGCAGGAGTGGTGTGTAAGAATACCAAAAATCGGAGTCTGTTTTGCATGAAAAAAGGGATTCTGATTTCTTTAAGCCCATGGTTGCTGCACAGAAGGACCCGCGGGGTGGGCAGCCCGGAGGAGGGCCGGGCAGGCGGCAAGCAGGGCTGGCGCTCACCTTGTAGCAGCGGTACTTGTAGAGCACAACCAGGAAGATGGTCATGACCACGATGACGCTGATCATGATGAGGGTGTTGAGCACGGAGTTGAGGAGGCGCTGGCCCACCGAGGGCGTGTTCTCGGTGAACGGCGTGTAGATGCTGAGGGCGAAGACAAGGCCCTTGGTGTTCCTTCTCCACCTGCCCCAGGTGCCCTTCGTCCTAAAGGAGCCTCGGACCACTGGTGGGGGCACCCTGGGGACACCTGCCCTGCTGGAGGGCTGTCCGCCATCCCCACCAGCTGCCCTGCCTTCCAACCCATCTCCTGGCCCCTGACCTCTCCGCCTGATGACTGGACCCAGTGTAACCGACCGTGGGAAAGGTCTCAGATGACTGCATGCATCAAGGTCCTGCATCCCCACACCGATGAGACCCGACCTGGAGGTGCCTCCCCACTGCTCTGTTCTGGTCCCAGGACAGCGGGCGGCTTCCCATACCCCCTCACTATCAGCCCCATCCAGCCTAGGATTTGCCCCTACTTCCACCCCACCCAACGCAATCAGTCCAAGTCCGTGGTGCCTCCCTGTCCAGCCTGGCCTGCGGGGAGTGAGCTGCCTGTGAAGTCCTTGAGTTCTCTTAATGCTTTTCGCTTCTGCTGTCTGAGTCCCTAGCAGAGTGTACGCTTCCTTATACTGAGGGTGGGGGCTTCTCTCTCTGCTCTTTTCTTTAAAAAACAAAACTTAACAGAAACTGCCTAAATTTTTTTTTTAATGGGGGGGGAGGTACTCGGCAGTGATTAACCCCAGGAGGTGGGGTGAGGGCGGGAAGCTTCTCATTTTCTATGCTGCTGCTGCCGCCTGTGTTCTGTTTTACCAAAATAAATACAAACTCCCTCACAAGGTTGGCTGGGAGCTGAGAAACCTGGTGCAGGCACATCGGTTTACATTCATGGGAGCAGAGGCCCAGAGAGGAAGTGACTTGTTCAAGGTCAGGCAGTGACGGGTGGCACAGCAGTGCCTGGGACCTGGCCCTTGGAGCACGGCGCTCAGTCCCATTAGGCGAGAGCAGTAAGCCCGGCATGCGGCAGTGCGGCGCCGCACTAAGCCTCTGTGTGTACCGTCTGCCTTAATTCTCCAATAACCTTGTTATCAAACCTCTTCTTCCTCCAGCCTTCTTCCTGGCCCTGGCCCCGCTCCCCACCATGCCCGGCCCCCACTCACAGTTGCCCGTTCTTCTCCGTGTAGAAGCGCACAGACTTGATGGTGGCCACCACCACAATCATGCACAGAGTCACCGGCACGAAAAGCATGATCACGTGCTTCGCCCCGTATTTGAGGGTCAGCTCCTCCTCCAGGCCCGGCAGCCGCCCGGGGACCCCACTGCAGACGTAGCGGTCAGGGTCCTCCTCGTGGTCCTCCTCGCTGTCCTGGTTTCTCTGTGGGAGACCACACTGTGTAGGCCACCAAATACCCCCAAAGTGGCCGACCGATGCAGGGCATGGGTGTTTTGGAAGAGGAAATAATGTTTGAAATTCCAGGGCATTTGAAAAGTGTAGAAACACAACTACAGAAAATTCAGGGCTTGAAAAAATCAAGATTGAGGACTTCCGCTAAGATGGAGGCATAGGTGGATGTGCCGTGCCTTCTCACACAATCAAGTTTAGAGACAACTAAATATTAGCAACAGAAAACACAGCCAGAACACAGAAAATTGAACTTTTCGGAAGTCTGTTAACAACAAATTCTTCAGTCTGACCGGTAAGGGGCAAAACCAGCAGCTGGTGGAGCGGGGTTGCATAGGAAAACTCAGTCGGACGGACTCAGGCACGCGGAATCCAGGCGCAGAGTTGGACCTAGTGAGCAACCGAGCGAGCGACCAAGCGAGCGACCGCAGGGAAACAGCGAGAGAGCAGGGCTGCGGGTTGACTGTGGTTGCGCATTTGTGCGCGGATAGACAAGCGAGGGAGTGGGCGATTGGACCGGGACCCAGCGGTCCCTGCAGCAAACGGCAGGGAGGGCGCCGCCATTTCCCCGCTCTGACCACGCCCCCACATTCAGCGTCATAACCCAGCGACTCTGAGTGGCCCCGCCCTGGTGAACCACCTAAAGCTCTGCTCCTCACCCAGCTGAGAGAAACAGCAGAGGGCGCCGCCATTTCCCTGCTCTGACCCCGCCTCCACATACAGCGTCACAACCCAGCGACCTGGGAGTCCAAGGCGCCGTTCCTCACACTTAAAGGGTCCAAACAGACCAAAAATGGCTCAAGATCTCAAAGCCCCAGAGCCCATAAATCTAAGCGATGAAGAAATAGCAAAACTCTCAGACACACAGTTTAAAACGCTGGTCATCAGGATCCTCACAGAACTGGTTGATTATAGCCACAAATTAGACAAATATATGAAGGCGAAACTAATTGAAATGAATGGAATTGCACAGGAAACCAACAGCAATGAAAAGGAAACTGGGACTCAAATCAATGGAGTGGACCAGAAGAAAGCAAATAATGGCCAAACAGAAAAGAGTCAAGAAGCAAGAATTCAAAGAAATTGAGGAGAGTCTCAGGAACCTCCAGGACATCTTTAAACGTTCCAACATCCGAATTATAGGGGTACCAGAAGGGGGAAAGGCACAGCCACCAGTGGAAAACTTATTTGAACAAATAATAAAGGAGAATTTCCCCAATCTGGCAAAGGAAATAGACTTCTAGGAAATCCAGGAAGCTCAGAGAGTCCCAAAGAAGTTGGACCCAACAAGGAACACACCAAGGCACATCATAATTACATTAGCCAAAATTCAAATGAAGGAGAGAATCCTAGAAGCAGCAAGAGCTAAGGGGACAGTCACCTACAAAGGAGTCCCCATCAGACTGTCAGCGGATTTCTCAAAACAGACCTTACAGGCAAGAAGGGGCTGGAAAGAGGTATTCCAAGTCATGAAATCCAAAGATCTACAACCAAGATTGCTCTATCCAGCAAAGCTTGCATTTAGAATGGAAGGACAGATAAAGTGCTTCTCAGATAAGATCAAATTCAAGGAGTTCATCATCACCAAGCCCTTATTATATGAAATCTTAAAGGGACTTATCTAAGAAAAAGAAGTTAAAGAAACATGAACAGTGAAAGGACAACAAACTCACAGTTATTAACAACCACACCTAAAATGAAAGCAAACTGAAAGGACAGCTAGATCAGGAGTGGAAACATAGAAATGAAGATCTCAAGGAGGGTTAGCAACAGGGGAGTGGGAGGAGAAGGGGGGAGAAGGTACAGAAAATAAGTAGCATAGACGGTAGATAGAAAATAGATGGGGGGGGCAAGAATAGCATGAGAAATATAGAATCTAAAGAACTTGAGACACATGGTCATAAACTAAAGGGGGGGTAATGGTGGGATGGGGGTAGGGAGGAGAGGAATGAAGGGGGGGAATAGAACGACTGTAACAGCATAATCAATAAAAAAATTTAAAAAAAAGAAAAGAAAATTCAGAGTTGGTGCTGATGACCACAGATTCAGGGAGGCCATGGCAGCCATAGAGGAGGGTGGTCCGCAGGCCCCTGGCTAAATGGCTAATGTTTGGAGCACATTAAAGAGCTAGCTGTCCCCTATCTCAGTACGGGGGCTCAGGACACCACTTGGTTCTGTTCACCTGGCCATACTGAGTTGGGAGGAGACAGGCCAGGTGACAGATGGAAGCCAGAGAGTAGACGTTTCTGGCTGACAAATTGCAAACTGGATTGATTGGTACACACAGGGACTGTCTTTGATTGTAAGTAAGATACTGGGAGTTTGCGGAAAAGGACATTACTTTGAATTTTTGCCCCCCAAAATCAAACACGCGAAATTTGCGCTCCACACCAGGAAGGCTAACCCAGCAGCGAACGCCTGGGAGGGTCTGGCCGATGGGAAGCGGGGAGAGCAAGTGAGCGAGAAGCGAAGGAGGCAGCAGGGACGCCTGCCAGACGCTGGGGTAAATGAACCCGTACGGATTTCCGTCTTGGAATCGTGGCAATTTAGGGTCATTAGCCGTCATGGCAATTACATTAACAGCCAATGCCAAAGCCAAATGAAATGGACACAAAAAATGATTATTGCTTCAGTATAGGCGCTCTGCAGGGATTGCGATCTAGATACTCAGCTGAGAAGGAAAAGAAACAAACCGTTAATGAACAGGAACTGAAACAGCTAAAATGCACAAACACTCCCGGGGATACAAGATGAAGAAACTACCAAGAAAAGGCTGTGGTGGCCTTGAGCTAGTGAGGTCCTGCTCTGAGAGCAGAGAGCATCCCAGGAGACGTGAACTCCAACTTCAGCACCAGGGAGTCGGGCCGGCGGCGGGAAGAGAAAGTCCCACATGGCAAGGTTTTTTTAATACTGTCCTGGGCAAAACGAAGAATGAGATGCGTGCAAGTTCAGACAGTGCTGTGCCCTGACAAGCCGCCCCAGAGGCGGCTTGGCTAGGTGGCTCCCCCAAGTACATCCAACACTTCAGAACGTTACTGTCAGCCCTCTGGGTGGCAGAGACAAGACCACAGTGTGGCCCACCTCCGCGGTGTGAACTAAATGAATGTGTGTCCCTGCAAATGTCCTATGTTTCAATTTAACCCCCACTGGGATGGTATCCTGAGGTGGGGCCTTTGGGAGGTGAGTGGGTCACGAGAGCAGAGCCCTCGTGACCAGGGCTGGAGCCCTTCCACCACCTGAGGACCCAGAGAAGACAGCCACCCGTGAACCAGGGCAGTGGCCTCTCACTGGACACCAGATCTGCTGGCCCCTTGCTTGGTCTTGGGCTTCCAGTCTCCAGACAGTGAGAACTAAATTTCTGTGTAATTTGCAAGCCAAGTGGGCTTTGGTAGTTTTGTCACAGCAGCCAGAAGCCCCAGCTCAAAAGTCTAAGGTGACTCGGGGACAGTCACCTCTCGATGGCCACGTCTACAGCTGCCAGAAAGGGTCCCCCCCCAGCAGTGTCCCTCCTGCCACCCTTCAGTGTGTGTTACCTGTCCCCACATCCAAACCGACTCTCACATGCCTGCACTAGGGAGGTGAATCTAAGGGGCAGGGGCCTCGGTACAGAGACTCAAGTTCACTGCAGTTGAACTTGAACAGGCTGGGAATGTGCAGTCTACTACAGAGCCCTCGCAGAGCAGACATGAGCTCTGTCATGGCAACCGCCCACCTTTCTGGCCATTCTCTCTTTTACTTTCCCCTCTCCTGGCACCCAGGGCTGTCTGGTTTCCACCCGTTAGGTACAGCAACCCCAGGGGCCTGTTTGGAGGCCTTGGCCCGCTGGCGGGAACCTACCCACTGGGCAGCATTCTCTCCGTCCTCCAGGCCCTGCCTGGCCTCCTGCTGGCAGGAGCGTGGTGTGGGGCTCTCGGCTGACATCAGGGACGTCCGCTCGTTGCATACTTCTTCCTCGCTGTCAGAGGCCATGAACGTGAGCATGGCCTGACCTCCGGAAGTACCTGGGAACATAAACACAGGCGACCTCGTCCATCTCCCTGTGTGGCACGGGCAGTGCAGGGCGGAGGGGGTGGCTGGCTAGAGGTGGCTCTCAGACCTGGACACACGTCCTACCCTGTAGCCACCCACCAGGACACTGTGTCCAATGTCTGCTGTACAGCAATGGTCCCCAGCAGCCACCACTGAGGCTGCAACAGCCTCAAGAGGGACTGGCCTTAGGAGATCCAGGCCCCAGGAGGCCAAAGGCCCCACTAGAGGAGTCAGGGCCACTCCGAGCTGTCAGCAGCCTCGCTCATTCGGCCAACACATACCCGCCGAGCACCGCGGCGTGCCAACACTGCTGGGCTCCGGGGATGTGGAGACGAGCAGGACACACACTTGTATCTTTAAAAACACACAAAAACCATCCGCTGTGACAAATTTTATGATCCAGGCATCTACCGAGGAGCACAGAATCACGCTCCGGCCAGGAGTGTTTTTGAGGAGGTAACATTGCTGATGGAGACAGACTGTTCCAGGTGGGAGGGAAGGGCATGATGAAAGTCGAGGTCGGGGCCTGGCACTGCCAAGGGGGGCAGTGAGGTGCGAAGGGCTCCTGTGTCATGTTAAGGGGGTATATGGCACGCCACCATCCCCCACCCCTGCCCAGGACAGTGTGACAGGCGGTTCACATCTGTGTTTAAAAATGTCAGTCTGAGCCCTGGCTGGCATAGCTCAGTGGATTGAGCGCGGGCCTGTGAACCAGAGTATCGAGGTTCGATTCCCAGCCAGGGCACATGCCTGGGTTGCGGGCCAGTTCCCAGCAGGGGACACATGAGAGGCAACCATACATTGATGTTTCTCTCCCTCTCTCCTTCCCTTCCCCTCTCTCAAAAAATAAATAAATAAAATATATTTTTTTAAAAATGTCAGTCTGACCATGGACTGAAAAAGAAGTAAAGAAGGGAAAAACCTCCCCGAAGGCGTCGGCAGACGGATGCACAGGATCCAGGAGGTGGACAGACAGGACAGACGGTAGGGACCGAACAAAGGCCGGAGTCCGGGACGAGGCCAGGCAGGGGGTCGGACACGGCAGGCGGGAGGAAGGAGGGTGTCTCAGCAGGGAGACCGTGAATTTGGTCCCGGAACCCGGGTGTCTATGGGTTAAAAGGGAGAAGCATCGGGGCGGCGGCTGAGTGCCTGGGTCCGAGGCGCAGGAGGGAGGTGAGAGTCGTAGGCCTACAAGTGGCAGCCGAAGGCTCGGGAGCAGTGAGACCATGTGGGTGAGTGTGTGTATGGGCACACGTGTGTGGTCAGAAAGCACGGCCGAGGCAGGGCCCACGGGAAGACTCAGGCTGAAGGGACCACACAGGAAGGGGGGGGGCTGTCCCAAGGCCACTGTGCCATCCTGAGTGGTGCGTAAACACAACAGCACCACATAGAAACCAGTGCGGCCCAAAGAGGCTGGGAAGAGCTTCCGACAACCCCGGATGGATCTGCCGGTCCTGCCGACAGCCTGGGCAGGGGCGGCTGAGCTCTCACCAGGGCCAGCTCTCCCCATCGCTGCCTCCTGGAAACCGCTGGGGCGGAGCTTCATGCCACTAGGGACAGACGGCCAGGTCTCCCTTCTGCTGAAAGTTCGTCTCCAGGTTGGTCACCCCACAATTTATAATTTTCAAGACAGCGGCTTCCAGCCGGGTCTGTGGCTGTCACTCTTTGAAGACAACACTCAGGGCTGTGGCCTGGATTATTCCCCCATGGACTTCAATTCTGTCCCCCAACTCACAGGCACAGGGCAGAGCCTGCCCTCTCTGTCCACCTCTCTGCCTCGGGCCCATTACCCAAGGCTCCCTGTGGAGCTTGCAGGGATCTCAGGGTGGATACGCTCCCGGGGCTAAGGATGGATAAGACAGCACCAGACCCACAGCACCGGAGGCAAAGCGAGATGACCGCGGGACACTGCACTTGGGGCGCTCAGATCGAGAGCGCTGTCAGAATTAGACGTCTCAGGTCTCAAAGAGTGAGAGGGATGAAAAAGGGTCAGGTAAGGAATCGCTTGCAGAGACTGAAGGAGGAGGAACGCCTTGGAAAGAAGTAATTACCTCCTAACTAAATGCCTGGGTGGGGGGACCTACCAGGGCCGATTTCTGACAAGCTGACGTGGCTGAAGTGGGGCACCTGGGAGGCAGTGGTGGGAGGTGGGGTAGAAAAGACGGGGTAGACCATACCAGGGAGGCCATGGTGGTGGGGAGCCAGCGAAGGACTCTGAACAGAAAAGGGACTGAACAGGGTGCGGCAGGATGTCAGCGGGGCGGCACTCTGCAGGGGGTGCGTGGGCTCCCGCTCTCCGCTGACACCCCCAAGACCAGGCTCGGTCCTGGGCCACAGGAGGGCGGATCTGGCTGCTCCTTGGCGGCCAGGTCCTGGAACCAGCAGTCTAACCCCAGGAGCATGACGTGGGGGACGCAGCTCTGTAGCCCCAACACACTGAGTGGACTCGGGAAGTTCATAGTGTGAGTTCCTTCATCTAATGGAGATCCGGCAGAAGTTTCAAGTCCTTCTCTGAGGCTCAGCCTTGCAAGACAAAAATCTACACAAATACCTGCTGGAACCCGACAGTTCCCTGATCACTCGGTCTGGCAGGGATGAGTTCCTTCGTACTGAAGGGCAGCACCCGGAACTCAGACACGGTTGGACTGTCTCTAAATCGGCAACCCCAAATCATGACATTCCATCCGGAGCAGAGCCTCGGATGGGCAAGGAACTACACGTGGCTCTTCTAATGCTGTTTCCCAGCCTGTCAGTTAGGCTTGGGGTGTGAATTCATAATGGAGTCACAACCCCCCTCCTTCTGGTTGCCCCAGGCCTCGGGGGGTCTGCAGCTGAACCGTGACGGGTTCACGGCCACCCTTGGACCCGGTGGTCAGGTCCTGACCTCACTAGGCTGCTTAACCTACACGCAGATCCTGGCGCTCAGTCCGACCAAAGGGCCAGGGATCTGCATTTCGAGACAGTCTCTGGGTGATTTTCAGGCTGGTGGCAGACCTTCCCCGGGGCCGCCCCTGCCAGGGAACCAGACGCTCCAGCCTGGGTCCCCAGCTCAGAACTGCAAGTGCCCAGTTATAGTCCACCTCCCTGGCCCCTGGGCCGGGTACCTGGCCCACCCGCCTGGCACCCCCACTGCCCCATACGACTTGCCCACTAAATGGGCATGGAGGGCAACAGAGGGGCAGTCCTTTCTCCAGAATACCCCTTGTCTGGTCGGAGTGCAGGCGGGCAGAGGAGCCGAGCTTTTGAGACTAAGAAGGCTGCAGCAGAACAGCGAGCTCACAGTCTGGAGAGGTCCCCAAGAAATGCCCCCCGCGGAGGAATGTATGGGAAAACTGGGGTGCAGACACCCCTGGTACGAATGGGACCAGCCTTCCGGAAGGCAGTAAAAACTTTTCAAAAGCTTTAAAACATCAATACCTTTTGAACCTGAAATGCTACTTCTTGGAATTGGGCCTAAGAAAACAATACAAGATTTGCATAAAAACATGTTTGTTGCTTTTATTTCTGATTGTAATAAAAGTGAAAATGACTGGACTGACTCTGTCCTCTGATATATTCATCTGAGGGGTTTATTATATGACCATTAAAATCACCTTATTAAAAAAAATATATATATATAATGTGTGTGTGTGTATGTGTGTGTAAAGGGCTGGTAAAAAATATTACAAAACTTCAAAGGATGTTTGAAGGTTTGGACAGTAAGATTGTGGGTGATTTTTGATTTAATATTTTTCTGCACTTCTAAAGCTCCTATAACAAACATGGATTGCATTTGCACAGGGCTTTTTAAAGCTATTACTTTTTTTAAAGGGACATCATGAGTATCAACATTTAGACAGGTTTCCTCCTGCCTCTCCTGCACCCCCTCCCACTGGACAGCGGGGGGAGGGGGGCAGGGGGACCAGATGGGTTTAGGAAGCCACCTGCCATCTCCTCCAGCACCCCCCCCCATTACCTGGCTCCTGGAGGAGGACAGAGCAGCTGGGATGTATTCCTTTGCTTCTAATGGTGTCTGAGGGAAAAATCGCCACCCAAATCTGTGCAGATAAACAACCTGCTCGATGTTTGTCCACCTCAGACTGGAGTGACGTCAACTCCCAAGGGAGGCTGACTCACAGGCTGGTGGGGGTGGGGCTCCGTGACTCTCCTATCACCGATGTCAAATCCTGTCACCCACATAGCAACCAGCACCCCATTCATTCTCTGAGGGGGCTGCAGGAAGAGACAGGGGCTGATGGGGGTGGGGAGGAGGGTCCAGGGATTGAGACCGTGTTGTTCTGGAAACCCTTCCCGGAACAAAGCACAGGGGCTGACAGCTGCCTTGGATTAGAATGCAAAGTCAAATGTCCCAAGTAGCCACTGCTCACTCCCATCAATCAGCTGAAAGGGACCAAAGTGCTGAATGGCCAAACCGAGGGACACAGACCCAGAGAATTTCCCAGCATGCGCACATCATTTCCTGCAATTATTATAAAAACCTGGTGACCCAGTTTTTTCAACCTCTTTCCCATCTCAGAGAAATGCAAATGTTTTGACCTTAAAATGTAAGGCTAATGGACCTCAGTAGGAAACAGATTTCTTAAAGGCCACAGTAAACACTGGTGCCTTATGGAAAAAGGTGAAAACTGTGGCTCCAAAAGCAACTTGGCAGCTACTGCAACGTACCACACACAGTTAGGGCTGCAGAGAGAGGTTTGGGTCCCGAACACTTGGTTGTTTTTCATTTGTTTGTTTGTTCGCAGGCCTAGTTGTGAATGAACCAATTTCCCTCAAGAGGGTGGTGTTAGTTTTAAACAGGCCACTTTCTGTGGTCACACCTTGCAGCAACCCATGACTCACGGGAAATTCAGTCTTTCCTTCTACTAGGAAAGGGTCTGCTGAGGTGAGGACATTCCCTTAGAATTTTCTTTAGAAATTCCCACAGCTTCCCTCCCTGTCTGTGTCCCTAGCCCGGGGCTTCTGACGATGTGTTTGACCCTGGATGACCTTCACCCACCTATCCATCCACTTCAGCCCATACCAAGATGGACATCAAAACTGGATGGTTCTCCCCAGCACGGGGGGGGAGGCTTCAGCCACACACCCTCTGGCTGCATGGCCTCAGACAATTTATTTAGCTTCACATGGCCCATTTCTTCTGGAAAAAGCGAAGCAGGCATGCCCTCCAAGAGTACTGTAAAAACTAAGGATCATGGGTAAAGTGCCTGGCACCCAGCAGGTGTTTAGTAAGTAATAGCAGTTCTAACGAAGATGAAATAGAGACAGGGACACAGTGAAGGGGGACAGTGGAAGCCTGCCGATGCCCCTCTCGGGAGGGGCCCCCAGCACTCTGGCAACAGGAACTCTTGATCAAACTGAAGAGCATGTCCCTAGGACGAGTGTCAGAACTGGCAAGGACATTAAAGGCCATCTAGTCCATGCCCTATTTTATAGTTAAAGGAAACGAAGCTTGGAGGGACAAAAGAAAGTCCGAAGATCAAAAGCCACGGTTACTTCCCGTCCGCTCAAGTACCTGTGAGAGCCATGTACTGGGAGGCCCAGGGCCATGGTCACGCAGGTGCCCACACAGCACACCATGTGGGCTCTCTGGGTGCACGCCCACCTTTGTGAGGCACATACCTCTTCCATGGGCAGGTATGTCTGTTTTCTTTAATACCCAGCTTCTCCAAAACACAGACAAGAGGTCAGGGAACGATAAATACTCACCAGATTACCTGTTGCCTTACAGACTCAGCAGTCTCTGTCCCCCACCGCCCACACGTCCAGCCCCCGCTGCCCCTCTGCTATTCGTGCTCCACATGGGGGTAGCGAGGAGGGTGGTTCAGGGACAGTGAGTGCCCACGTGTGGGCATGGGACAGGGGCAGGACGCTGCTACCCTCAGTCAAGTCAAAAGGATGACAATAATATCACAATCATAGCGTAGTGCTAAAGTCGTGCCTGCTGTGGCACTAGTGCAACAAGTAATGGGCTACACACCAATTAAAACCGGCTTTCCCAGAATGCTCAACAAAGGGAAAATTCTGAAGGCATAACATTAACAGGAAAAACAGGACACAGAACTTCCTCTCCAGCTTCCTACCTCTGGTATTTTAACAGATAACTACATACGGATGGGCCTACAGCACGGTAAGGAAATGCCTGCTCATAGTGGTTATCACTGGGCTGGGGGTTACTGGGCTTTTTAAAAAACATTGCCTGAATTTTCCCAGGATGAACACATATTACTTTTTTTCCCCCGCATGCAACAGTAAGTTTATCCATTTGTTTTTTTAGAAAACATATTACTTTCGTTTTTAAAAAGCTAGCAAGTTGCTGGTTAAGAGACAGCAGAAAGGTTAGCACCCTTTCGAATTTCTCTTCCCATGCTCTAGAAGACTATTTTGGCAAAGATGACTGAGCAACCCATTCTCCCAGGCAGTGAATAGGCCGGACGGAATTGAGCTCTTTCCTCAGAATTTCACAAGATGCCCCGACTACTTCCAGACCTGGAGGCCCGCACTTATTACACGGGCTTCAAATCCACCTCAGAGCAGCCAGCTTAAGGGGACAAGAACCTCCAGGCCCTGGCCAATGGCAGCCTGGAGGCCTTGCCAGCCTCGGAGCCCCACCCATCCTCCTCCCAGCCCCGCCCCCAACTGCTGGAGTCCGGGAACAGGTGGGGAATACTTGCACACATGGGTTGTCTCGCCAGTCCCCAACCACACAGAGTCCTCAAGTCAAAGCAACAGCTGAACGAACACCAGCCAAAGATGTCTTTAGTGGAAACATGCATGTCACCTACACACTGCTTTGGTTTCTTAAAAAAAAAAGTATATGTATATATATGTATGTGTGTGTGTATACACTTCATTTTTAATGTATTTTTGCTTTGTCAGGTAGTCAGATACCACACAGACATTCCCTAAGAGCAGTGCAGGGACACGGGTGGGGGCGCATGTGGAGAACCTCTTGCACAAAAACTCCAAATATTAAGAAGACACAGCCAGCTGGGAACAAACCCTGGTGCTCAGCCACCAAAGCCATGCTGCAGGAAAAGTTGCTTACCTCCCTGAACCTCAGCCTCCCCTTCTGCAGGAGGGTAGAAATCATAGCTACTTAGTGTGACTGAAGCTCTGAAGATAACTGTGATAACTACTGTACTAAATGGTTTTATTGTATATGACAAACTCCTAATGTAAGGTATGCTACGTCATCATCAATAACTCAGAGAGAGGCCAAGGTCAGTGGTGTGTTTGCGCAATGGTACTGAGAAGAGCTGAGGGCATGGTGACAGGCATGACAACCTGCACTGGCCTCTGGGCACATGTAAGTGGCAGCCTCTGCCCAGGCTCTAACTTGTCCTCAAACAGATGTGAACAGGACATTCGTCTCTGACACTTGCACCAACTAAAGACTATACACCTGGTGCCCAGGTACTTCAACACCTAACGATATAGAACTTTCCGTGAAACCACCTCCATCCCACTCTGTAGCAACATTCCTCCAAGCCCCCCACTTCCAGCCCCTGCCCTAAATGCCCCTTCATGCATTTCTAAGTTCACGCAACACATGAACCGAGGAAGCCTGCCTGCCTGCCTGATGCGTGGCTGAGGCTGCAGCTCTGGGCTGGAGCCGGGCTCCCCAGCCCCTTTACCACCTGGGCTCTGAAAACAGCTACTGACAGCTCTGCCCACTGCCACACAAGCACATTCACACAGAGGGGAACCTGAGGCTCACGCACCTGCAACAGCTTATCCAAAGCCTTTAATTTCTGCCAGAGGTCTTGGCTGAAGGCCTCAGAAGCTCAGGTGTCTACAGAATGAACTATGCAGACGTCAGGGGCATCCATACGGGAAGCCAGGGTCTATCCTGATCAAGTTACTCTCAGCACAGGCTTGGCTGCCCAGGATGTCAATTTCGAGTTAAGTTGGCTCTGCAATTTTTCTGGTGCGATGCCTCTCAGGTTCTCCACCTGTAAATGGGGATGCAGTTGGTCCACCAAGCAACAATTCATGCTTTGAAAAGGGAATACATGTTAAGGCAATACACAGGAGCATTTCACCCAACTGCCAAGGTCCAAGGACTAAGCAGCAGGACGCGAGGCAGCCTGGCTCTGCTTTATCCTACCTGGGCGACCTTGCACAAAGTCACTTTAGCCCTGTGGGCTGAGTTCCTCCACTGCTAAAATTTGGGCTGGGAACTAACTACTATTTAGGTTCCTGCAAAAAGCTTGATTCTGGGAGTCTCCCCACAGTTGTAAATGCCTACTAAAACAGTCAGACGCCGCTGGTCAGGAAGTCTCCCTGCTCCGGGTCCCGACCTGCGGTTTAGTTCCTCATACACCCGGGAAGACCCCCCCCACCCCACTCCATCTCCCCTCCTATCCTAGCAAGCAGTGCCCAGGGCCGGAGCCACAGGGAGTCAGGGAGGTCCCAATCAGGAGGAAAGAACAAATGTCACGGTCTACACGCCTTTGCGCCTCACGTGCACTGCTCCTTTGAATGCCCTGGCCCTTTAACAGCTCGTACCGCGCCCACCCTAGCGAGGAGTAGGAGGCCGGGATGACCTCGCCCGACAGAAGGCCCAAGGCCTGGGGGCCACTCTCCGCACTCCTTCCGCGACCCAGTTCCAGGCCGGCTCCGGTAGTGCCCTTCCCGGCACCTCCCTTCTCCCGCCCCCACGCCGCAGAGGCCGGGTCCACGGCGCGCAGGCACCCAGGGACAGCGGCGCGCGCAGGGTCTGCCGCCCCGGAACTGGTGAAGGGACCTCGAGAGGCCCCGGCAAGGGGCGCGCGAAGGGCAGGGCCTGGTCTGCGGGTCGCCATCTATCCGAGGCCTCTGTCCTACGAGCTACTGGACCCTGCCCGCTCGCCCAGGGCCCTCGCTGCCCACCGGCTCACCTGCTCCTACGCGACTCTCCGTGGGTGTTTACGCCGCTGGCCCTTCGCCCGGCCAAGACCCGGCTACAGCGCAAACCCCGCCCAGGCCCCGCCCCGGCACAGGCCCCGCCCCGAGGCCGACCCCGCCCCTGCCCCGCCCCGACGCAGACCCCGCCCCATCGGCTGCTCTGCGTTCAGCCGCTGAGCCTGGCAGGGACCTGGCCTGCTGGCAGCACTCGGCGCTGGTCAGGTTAAACCTGGCGCGGGAGTGGGCACTGACCTTACAAAGAGAGGAGGCCAGTCCTCTGTTCTAACGGGGCCTGGCGGCAGCATGGGGCCATAGTGGATTTTAGGTGCCTGGGTCCTACCTTTCCGGGATTCCAGAACGGGAGGGATAGGGGATGGACCTTTATTTATTTGGTCTCCATTATATATGATTTGCGTTTTATTTGTCTTATTTCAGTTGTGGGAACAAGTCTGCGAGGGCGGGCACTAGGGATTCCTTTTTTACACACGGGGAAATGGAGGTCCCCAAAGAAGCTGTTTCCCAAGCGAGCATGAGCCATGAGTGGCAGGAGTAAGTGCAGGACTTGAGTAGGACCAGAGACGGCGGCCTCTCCAAGTCGGGGCCTGAACTGGGCTGTGGGCAAGGGATCTTTGATGAATTCATTCCCTTCGTGGTTCTCCTTTGAGGTCAGCACTCTCAGCTGCTTTTCACATGCTGGTTTGTGACGGATGAGTAAGCGCCTTCCTGACCCTGACCTCAGCTTGGGAAGGGAAGGCCTCTGCTTCAGGTTCCGGTGTCCCGGGACTGGTGTTTTCTTTGAACACACTTGAGAAACCAAACGCTGCCCGCTAGACAGTGGCGGGTAGTGGAAACCACACGAGCTTAGGAACCTAGGTTTGAAATGCATTTTTTCCACTTATTCACCGCATGACCCAGGCCAATGACTCAACCTCACTAGGCCTCCGTTTCCTGGTATGTGAAGAAGATTGTGGAGAGGATTCCAACAGAAATAAGGGTAAAAGTGACAGGAACACAGGTAACACTCAACACATGTCTGTTGTCGTCCTTCTTCATCCTCTCTCCTCTGTTTGTGGTTTTGATTTCCTTGACATTGAAATGACAGACTGAGTGACTGACTGCTCACAAACATTCTGCACCTCTCAGTTCTGTTGGGTCACACCCTTCTGCCCTGCTGAGCACAGGACTGGTCCTATGATTTTGACCAAGGTCCACAGAGATGCTGCGTGGCAGTTCCAGACAGAAGCTCTGAGACCCTAGGCAGGTTTCATCCAGTCTTCTTCTGCTAGGAGATCAGCTGTGTTACAGATAGAGGTTGCCCCATGAAGCTGGATGCACAGCTCATGGGAGAAGGGCACGTCACATGAGCGACAAAGAAGTCTTCCTTGTTTTAAGCCACTGAGACCCAGAGTTACTTGTCACCGTAGCATACCTAGCCCAGCTTGATCTGATGGATACATCTGCCATTCAGCATCTTAACATTTCATGCAATATTTTTTAGACTTCTCTAAAAAGGTTTATTTACTGTGTTTATGTTTTTAGTGGTGAGTACTTTATTAACAACTTTTTTCCTTGTAAAACTTGTATGCCATGTAGAAAAATATGGAAAAGTAAATAGAGGAAAAGAAAAATCACCCACTAACACTTTCATTCTTGTCTGATGTCTTTTTCTGATATTTCTTTTGATAATTTTCTCAGATGAGAATCTGGTAGAAATTTTTGAAATTGGAAGCCTCCAAGGATGTCCATACCCTATTCCCTAGAACCTGTGACTATGTTAACTTTAAATGTCAAAAGGGACTTCGAATGGATCTTTTACCTATGCATGGCTTTGTGATATCATGTACAGATCATTTAGAAAAACATTGGTTCGTCAGCTTCCCTAGATCACCCAAAGGTTGACACATTTCATTACACAATATAAAGAACACAATAGCATCATTTGTTAAAATCACCACCAATCTCACTTGAAAACCCTTTAACTATTGGGAAGCTTTTAAACTCTCCATGGTGGATACAAAATATTCTAGTATCCTCCTTTTCACTTGAAAGCTCAAATTTTAGCAACAAGTACCATTGGTTGCTTCCCCTGAAGTGACAGACTCACTTGGTTTATTTTCAAGGACATGTCTGCCGAATACCTCTGAGTAACTCAAGGTTGTCTGTTTTTGTCTCAAGTAAAAACGGTGTTCTATGGAAAAACCAGCTAGTACAGCATGCACCCAAGTGTGATCACATAAGTGCATTTCCTGGCGACGACCAAGGCACTTAAGTTTTTAGCAAAAATGCTTGATGCCTGCTTCCCTTGTCATTACCCAGAACGTTAAACAGAATGCACAAGCAAGAGCAGACATTAAATGAAGTTGATCATTTCTACTATTTATTATTAAGTACATTCTCAGTCACAACTGCCATTTTGCAAAAGTTACTAATTCGTGGCAGTGAAGAATACAGTGGCCCCAGTCCCGTTTGGTGATCACAAAGTCTCAGTGTTCCTGTGAAGACTATGTCCCTCCCCCGCACATGCCCCAGGGGGCTGCAGGTCACACTTTGAGAACATCTGAGCCATTGTGCCTCAGGGTACCTGGACCTTCCTTCCATAGTTCTACACAACAGCTTTGCATGGGCTTAGCATGTTGGTGTTTGTTTCTTTAAACCATTTCGAGGATGTCCATGTCACCTTGTCATGTCTCCAACAAGATTTATGAAACTCACAACACATACTGTGTAAGCACTTCAGCACATGCTTTTTTCTTTTAAATATCCTGGCTTCCTCTTTCTATGTTCTTTGGTTCTCTCTGCCACTCTAGACATGTTGGTTTATGACAGAAAGTGGTTGCTGTCAAAGAGTTGCCCCCACTGAATGAGGAATTACGTAGTGGACCAGGGAGGGGGAGGTGTAAACGTGTGAAAGCATTTCAATAAGGAGGCCATGAGCCAGGATTGGCTCTAATGCAAGCAAACCAAAACCTAAGCTTTTCAGTGCCTTTGAACCTGAGAAAGTGAAACTTAAGGACCACCAGTCAGACACAGCCAACTTGGTTTTGCCCAGTAAGTCAACTGCTTAAACTATGACTAATCAGATACTTTTCCTGCTTTGCTTCTGTGTGTTCTCTATAAAACCCCTTCCCTAGCTCCTCTTAGTGGGGCTCTCTAACCTTCCATTTGGTTTCACCCAATTCAAAGCAACGTATGCTCAAATAAAGTCTTGAAAAAAAAAAAAGTTAACGTGCCTCAGTTTACCTTTGGACATGCATACAGGACAACACGTTCCTTTCACTACACTATGTTTTCCTCCACAATGACATCAACAGGTAATGTTGGATTATCATACGCTAATCAACACTTACTTTCGGACTTCCGCCAAGATGGAGGCATAGGTGGATGTGCCGTGCCTTCTCACACAACCAAGTTTAGAGTCAACTAAATATTAGCAACAGAAAACACAGCCAGAACACGGAAAATTGAACTTTTCGGAAGTCCGTTAACAACAAATTCTTCAGCCTGACCGGTAAGGGGCGAAACCAACAGCTGGTGAGGGGTTGCACAGGAAAACTCAGTCAGCCGGACTCAGGCGCGGAATCCAGGCGCAGGGTTGGACCTAGTGAGCGACTGAGCGAGTGACCAGGCGAGCGACCGCGGAGGAGACAGCCGGCCCGGGGCTGCGGGTTGACTGTGGTCACGCATTTGTGCGCGAGCGGACAGGCGAGGGAGTGGGCGGTTGGACTGGGGCCAGCGGGACCCCGCGGCAAGCGGCAGTAGAGGGTGCCGCCATTTCCCCACTCTGACCACGCCCCCACATACAGCGTCACAACCCAGCGACCTGGGAGTCCAAGGCGCCGCTTCTCACACTTAAAGGGCCAGAACAGACCAAAAATGTCGCAAGATCTCAAAGCCCCAGAGCCCATAGATCTAAGCGATGAAGAAATAGCAAAACTCTCAGACGCACAGTTTAAAACACTGGTCATCAGGATCCTCACAGAACTGGTTGATTATAGCCACAAATTAGACAAATATATGAAGGTGAAACTAATTGAAATGAATGGAATTGCACAGGACACCAATAGCAATGAAAAGGAAACTGGGACTCAAATCAATGGAGTGGACCAGAAGAAAGCAAATAATGGCCAAACACAAAAGAGTCAAGAAGCAAGAATTCAGAAAAATGAGGAGAGTCTTAGGAACCTCCAAGACATCTTTAAATGCTCCAACATCCGAATTATAGGGGTACCAGAAGGGGGAAAGGCACAGCCACCAGTGGAAAACTTATTTGAACAAATAATAAAGGAGAATTTCCCCAATCTGGCAAAGGAAATAGACTTCCAGGAAATCCAGGAAGCTCAGAGAGTCCCAAAGAAGTTGGACCCAACAAGGAACACACCAAGGCACATCATCATTACATTAGCCAAAATTAAAATGAAGGAGAGAATCCTAGAAGCAGCAAGAGCTAAGGGGATAGTCACCTACAAAGGAGTGCCCATCAGACTGTCAGCAGATTTCTCAAAAGAGACCTTACAGGCAAGAAGGGGCTGGAAAGAGGTATTCCAAGTCATGAAATCCAAAGACCTACAACCAAGATTGCTCTATCCAGCAAAACTTTCATTTAGAATGGAAGGACAGATAAGGTGCTTCTCAGATAAGATCAAATTCAAGGAGTTCATCATCACCAAGCCCTTATTATATGAAATGTTAAGGGACTTATCTAAGAAAAAGAAGTTAAAGAAACATGAACAGTGAAAGGACAACAAACTCACAGTTATTAACAACCACACCTAAAACAAAAGCAAACTAAAAGGACAGCTAGATCAGGAGTGGAAACATAGAAATGAAGATCTCAAGGAGGGTTAGCAACAGGGGAGTGGGAGGAGGAGATGGGGGGAGAAGGTACAGAAAATAAGTAGCATAGACAGTAGATAGAAAATAGATGGGGAGGGCAAGAATAGCATGGGAAATATAGAATCTAAAGGACTTCAGACACATGGTCATAAACTAAAGGGAGGGTAATGGTGGGGATGGGGGGTAGGGTGGAGGGGAATGAAAGGGGGAATAGAACAACTGTAACAGCATAATCAATAA